AAAAACAGAACTGAACGATAAGGCAATTTTCCCATGAACTTTTTGAAACGCTTGAATAGGTAAAACCCCTAGGGTTGGGAAAAAATCGGTTTTCAATAGTTTTTTCAAAGGCTTGAACAGAAAGAAAGAGAGCATTTAAGAGAAGACTTTGGAAAGCAATCTAAAGGGCACCCTTTGCTTGTCTAGAAGGACATCCACTTCAATCTTTCTCTATGAAACACAGTTCCAAAGGACCCAAAGTAGTTTGATACTGCTTTGGGGAAGGGCACATTTGTGGCTTTTAATAACCAACAGAAAGAGAGAATCCAAACCTAACAACAACAGCTTTTCTACATCGTTAGTCACTCAAATAGCTGAGAGTGGCATGTGTGTGAGGCCGCAGGTCAGGTGGAACGGACACTTCCCCCACCACGAGGAAGACACACGGCCTGCAGCGTGAGACAGCTTGACGAGCTCAGCAAGAAGGTAAACAGCCTCCCGGTGTGGCAGGGACACAAGAAACCGGACCGCAAACTCTGTTGTCAGCTGAATCTGAGCAGGACACAGAACTGCCCCCCAAGGGTTTCTCATAGCATAAGAAATAATTATTCTTAGCTTAGGGATATGCTTAAGTGTGGCCCCAAATCTATTCATATAAGGGGACATCCCCCCAAAAAAACACCCTGGGAAAAAAGCATAGTATAAAAGTTCCGCTCCACCCAGCGCAAATCCGGTTTGGGGGGGTAACTCCCTCGAATATCCAAAATAACTGAAAACAGTTAGACACAGGCACCTGAGTGCTTAGAAGAGTGCTATTCTCAACAGTCAGAAGCTGGAAACAACCCAAACATCCCTTAAAAGATGAATGGACAAATGAAACGTGCTACATTCATGCAATGGACCATTATCCGGCCACGAGGAGGGATGAAGTTGGATACACAATACGACATGGATGAACCCTCAAAACACGCTAAGTGAAATAAGTCTGGCAGGAAAGGGCAAATGTGTGCTTCTACTTACATGTAAAATCAAGAACAGACACACGCATAGACAGAAAGTCTAATTAGAGATTAGCAGAGACTGAGTGTCGGGGGAACAGGTAGCTTAGCTGTTGCTGATGAGCACAGAGCCTGTGTGGGATGACGAAACCACGTGGAAGATAGTCGGAGGTGACGGCACAACCATGAATACAATTAATGCCGCTGAACTCGCACATTAAAATGCAAACTTTTCTTATCCATGTTTTATTCATAAAAATAACTAACCTTAAAAACAACAAGCTCCCACAGTTTAAGGTTTGATATCTATGATGAATCTTGAGTTCATTTTTATATATGTTATGAGGTATGAATCAAAGTTCACTTTCTAAAAACACAAACAAAGTGCACTTTCTGTGCCCATCTGTTGAAATTGACTATCCTTTTGATACTAAAATTCCCTGTGCGCCTTTGTTCAAATCAGTTGCTCAATTTTTTTTTTCTCTGGAGTCGCTATTCATTCCATTGATCTAAGTGCCTACCCTTTATGCTAATTATGGCAGTGTCTTAATTACAATAGCTTTACAATTAGTCCTAATATAAGTAGGTGATAGTAGTTGTCCAACTATGCTCTTTAAAAGTATTCTTTTGAAGTGGTGTTAACAAACCCAGGGACAAGGAAACAACAAGCGATCCAAATTGGTGGTGAGGAGGGTGTGGGAGACCTGGTAGGGCAAGATCAAGGGTAATGTAACCAAGAAGAAATGCTGAAACCCTGGTGGGGACTGAGCATGATAGTGGGACAAGAGGAAAGTCAAAGGAAATAGAGGAAAGAGCTGGGAGGCAAAGGGCATTTATAGAGGTCTAGATAAAGACATGTACATATGCAAATATGTTTATATATGAGGATGGGGAAAT